TGAAAATAACAAGTGTTGCCCAGAGTACAGATAAATGAGAACCTTCATACACTGCTGGTTGAAATGTAAAATGGTACAGCAACTTTGGAAAACAGTCTGGCAGTTCCTCAAATGATTAAACATGGAGTTACCATATGACCCAGCAATTTCACTCCTAGGTATATATCCAAGAGTAATGAACACATACGTCTACATAGAAATTGTATACGAATTCAATTGTATTCGTATTGATACGAATTGTATCAAAGAATTGATATACGAATATTTATAGTAGCATTGTTTATAACAGCTAAGACGTGGAAAAAAGCCAAACGTCCATCAATGGACAGATGGGTAAACAATATCTGTATACCCATACAATGGAATGTAGCTCAGCCATAAAAGAATGAAGTACTGATATGGTCATGTGCCATACAACATTTTTGTCAACAACTGATCACATATACGACAGTGGTCCCATAAGATTATAATACCATATTTTTATTGTACCTTTCCTGTGTTTTTATTTTTGGAGACAGAGACTTGCTCTATGGCCTACACTGGAGTGCAGTAGCACAATCTCAGCTCACTGCAATCTCCACCTCCCAGGTTCAAGCAATTCTCCTGCCTCAGCCTCCCGGATAGCCGGGACTACAAGTGCACACCACCATGCCCAGCTAATTTTTGTATTTTTAGTGGAGACGGGGTTTCACCATGTTGGCCAGGATGGTCACTATCTCTTGACCTCATGATCTGCCCACCTTGGCTTCCAAAGTGCTGGGATTACAGGTGTGAGCCACTGCGCCCAGCCTGGGTGTGAATGCCTACAGTATTATGCTATACAGCATTTTGGCCTAGAAGCTACAGGCTATACCATACAGCCTAGTTGTGTAGTAGGCTATACCATCTAGGTTTGTAAAAGTACATTCTATGATGTTTACACAATGACAAAAATCATCTAACAATGCATTTCTCAGAACGTATCTCCATCATTAAGTGACATATGATTATACATACTACAACATGGGTAAACCTTAAAAGCCTCAAGCTGGCCAGGCACAGTGGCTCATGCCTGTAATCCCAGCACTCTGGGAAGCCGAGGTGGGCGGATCATGAGTTCAAGAGATTGAGGCCATCCTGGCCAACGTGGTGAAACCACGACTCTACTAAAAATACAAAAATTAGCTGGGCGTGGTGGTGGACACCTGTAATCCCAGCTACTTGGGAGGCTGAGGCAGGAGAATCATTTGATCCCAAGAGGTGGAGGTTGCAGTGCGCCCAGATCACACCATTGCACTCCAGCCTGGGCAACAAGAATGAAACTCCATCCCCCTCCCCTAAAAAAAAAAAAAAAAAGAATTGTCCTATACATTGGAGTCAGTTATCACTTGATATTTACATTAATAGGATTTTAATATAACTTATATTCATAGTATTCTTGAGTCATCAAAAAAGGTTTAAGTTATTTCCAGAATTATGTGATTAGGTCCTAACAATGGGTAATACATTTCAGATTTTCTTCTTTCAGTACAGTGACTTTATATGTTGAAACAGCAAGTTAGACCAATTTATGTGGGGCATCCAAAATCCAAATGGAACCATTTTAATATCCGTAAGAGTTAAATATTATAATAGTCCCAAGAATATAACAGAATTCAAGATTTCTATCAAGTTCAATGATCTTTAAAAAGGTGGTTAGGAAAGAAAATTACACATTTTAGGAACCATTAAGTTCGAAGGTCTTTGGAATAGAAGCAAAAGACATGTATTTCTTATGACTGAAGATTTAGGTAGCGAGTGTAACTTGAATTAAGGTTGTGGTTGAGTAGATCAACTTTTTTTTTTTTTTTGAGACAGAGTCTCGCTGTCACTGAGGCTGGAATGCAATGGCGTGATCTTGGCTTACTGCAACCTCTGCCTCCAGAGTTCAAGCCATTCTCCTGCCTCAGCCTCCCGAGTAGCTGGGATTACAGGTGCCCGCCATGGCGCTGGGCTAATTTTTGTATTTGTACTAGAGACTGGGTTTCACCATCTTGTCTAGGCTGGTCTGGAACTTCTGACCTCATGATCTACCTGCCTTGGCCTCCCAAAGTGCTGGGATTACAGGGGTGAGCCACTGTGCCCAGCCGAGAAAATCAACTTTTTAAAGATATATAGTCATTAATCTAAAATTTAATGTGTCCCATCAGGGTCAGCAAAACGAATCTTGTTAGCCTGCTTAGCAAACATTCCTGAGTCATAAAGAACTTCTGCTAACTAGAGTGGTAATTGTATTCTTTAACAGATAAATGATCCTTTAGCATTGGGAAGATTTAGAATTAAGTACAAATGCTCCTCAACTTATGATGGGGTTATATCCCAAAAAACCTATTGTAAGTTGAAAACATTATAAGTTTAAAATCCATTTAATACCCCATTAAACCCACTGTAAAGTCAAAAAATCATAAGTCAAGATTTAAGAGCAGTGGTTTGAACATTTGTGTCCCCTCCAAAATTCATGTTAAAACTTCATCCCCATTGCAACAGTAACACCTTTAGGAGGTGCTTTGGCCAGGAAGCCTCTGCCCTCATGGATGGAATTAGCGCCCTTATAAAATGACCTAAGGGAGTAAGTCTGGCCTCTTTTGCCATTCCATCCCTTCTGCCACATGAGGACACAGCAGTCCTCCAATCCAGAGGATGCAGCAACATTGTGCCATCTTGGAAGCCAAGAGCAGCTCTCACTAGACACCAAACTGCCGGGACTTCCCAGCTTCCAGAAGTGTAAGAAATCAATTTCTGTTCTTTATAATTACCCAGTCCCAAAGTATTTTTACAGCTGCACAAATGGCCTGAGACAGAAAAGATTTATAATTATTAAAAACACTTAAGAGAATCAGAACCATAGTTGGGAAAGCCTCATTGAGAAGATGGCATTTGAATAAAGTCCAAAGGAAGTAAGAGAGTGATGTGGGTGTCTTGGGGAAGAGTATTTCAGGCAAAGGGAACAGCAAGTGCAAAGGCCCTGAGGTGAGCAGGCAAGGAGGCATTGGGAGAACATCAAGGAGGCATGGGGGGAAGCAATGGGATATGGAGTCAGAAGGGTAAGGCAGATCATGAGAGGAGCAGGATATGGTGAGACCAGGTGCTGTAAGGCTGAGTAGACTATTATGCAGCTTTTGGCTTTTAAACTGCATAAGAACGGGTGCCACTGACCAATTTTGAGCAGAAAAGTGACAAAAGCTTCATTCAAGGCAATCAAACACATCAAATCCTTTAAATATGATTAACATATCATTGTGTCACTGAGTTAACTAAGCCTATTAGAAATTATTTTATCTAAAAATCAGATTTAAATGACATAGGATGAATCAATATTACTATATCTTACAAAGTTTTTGCTGGCCCCAAATCATTATCAACAGCAAAAGCTGGTGATTTCAGGGCTATGAGATAAGGTCTAGGGGCTTGGCCTCCTTCCTGGAGTCTCCTGCTGACATCTTAGAGGACAATCCACCCAGACACCCATTTGGCCAAGGGGCCCAAGCCAGATTCTCACTTCCCAGTTGCCACTTGTGTGGCCAGAGAGGTTCCCAGGAATAAAGATGTCTGATCCCTGCTTATCAGTGAGGGGCTCTTGCTCCAGTCCACAAACGCATCCATACCTGAGGCATGGAGGAGATAAGACTGGAGCAGAAGCTTGCTGAGGATTTTGGAGGCTTTTCTGAAAAATATCAGTTAAGTTTTTAGAGCAGGGTAGCGCTGTGGTGCAACTGGCCCTTCTGAAGACTCCTCTGGAGGCGCCTTAGGAGGGAAGGCAGGGCGGGAACAGGAGGCCCTGGGCGGCTATGGTCACCCCTGGCCTAGAGGTGAAACCCCACACTTCACACGTGTTCCTTCATCTGCAAAGTGGAATTACTGTCAGCCTGACTAGATGGTTGTTTTAGGTGAAATTAAGTGAAATAATTCATATAGGTGAAAGCACTCCATTTAAATTTCTGCAAATATAAAGGTTCATCAAGCACAGAGGTGATACTGACATGTGTGGTCAGAAGCCCGCCAGGTGTGAATCTACCGCTTCCTAACGCGTCTTGGAATGACGTGGAGTAGGGCCACTGAACAATCAGCGGTAAATAAGCGCATCTGAAGGGGAAGGGAACAAGCCGCTGACTAACTCACAAAAGAGGCGGTCCGCATGGGTAAAGATGAGCATGTACGGTTCCGTCCAGAAGCAAATAGTTGGAGCTGAACATTCGTTAGGCGCGGTGAGTCCGCCCTCGGTTCTAAGCCCAGATGTCGCATCTTGACATAAAACCAAGGATGGAGGCTGCACCGAGAAACTCGGGCTACTGCCCTGGGAGCCAGGCTCCCCGGCAGCGGCCCCGGCCGCGCCTGCAGAAGCTCCGGCCCCGGCCCTGCCCTCCCCGCGCGCCCCCCCCCGGCGGCCGCCCGTCTTCGCGCCGCACAGCCCGAGCCCCTCCAGAGTCCCCGGCGCCCGACGGCTCCAGACACGCCCGGCGCCATCCCTGTCGCCTTCCCGCCGCAGCCACAAGGAGGCTCCGCGCGCCTTCCCGCCTTTCCCCGGGCCGGGCCGGGCCGGGCCGGGCCGGGCGGCGAGGCGGACGCGGGCGGCGACGGCGCGGCCATTGTCCCGCAGCCCCTCCCGGGCGCGCAGGAGGGGCCGGCCCGGCAGGCGGGGAGGGGCAGCCGGGAGCCGGTGCCCGCCAACGCCCGCCGTCGCCCCGGGCCGGGCCAGCCGCCGCCCGCGCCTCCTCCGTGGCCGCCCCCAGCCCCTCGGAGCCGGCGCCGCCGCCGCCGCTGCGCCCCGGGCTGCAAATGGCGCCCGCTCGCCTCGGCGCCTCCCGCCGCGCTCCCGGCCCGGGGACGTCTGGGGGCGGCGCGCCCGGGGCCCGCATCCCAGCACCGCCGCTGCCCGGGCCGTCAGAGCCCGCGGCGCCTCCGCCCGCAGCCAGGCTCGTGGCGGGTCCCGGGCAGCCCCGACGCCCGCCCGCCCTCCGCCCGCGTCGCGCGCTGCCACTTACCGCGGGCCGCGGCGCACCGGCCGGTCGCGCGCGCGGGCCGGGGGAAGATTCCTGGTTCTCGGCCGGGGAAGGACCCCCTTTCGAGGCCGTTCCTTTGCGCCCTAAAACAAGTAGCCCCAACGTGAGAGAAACAAAAGGTATTTGCTGACGTGGGCGTTGGACAGAAACGCCCGAGGGCTGGGGACACAATTAAAGGGGCAACGCACAGATTTCAGGCACCAACCAGCAGCTTCGCCCACTCCCCCTGCCCTTGCCCACACCCGCTGCACGCTCCAGAGGCACCGAGGTGCCCAGATTCTCTAGCAGTTGACTGCGGATCATGATTTTAGTCAGGAGCTGAAATTTAAAATTGTACTTTACGTTGGGAAAGGCGCCTCCGGAGGGCAGAAGGGCTGGATTTCTAGGATCTGGGGAATTTAGGAAAGAGGGAGGGACTTAGGCGTGCCCACAATTACTGTATAAGTACATGTGACATTATTGTACTTAAGTTTAGCAACGTCAAATGCAAGAGAGTTCCACAAAATTTTCCCTTGTATTGAAGCAGTTATTTTAGTTGAGGATAACCTTTTCTAAACCTCTACAGGTCAGAAGCATTTCATTTGAAGAGGAAAACCCAGAGAGGCTAAGAGAACATAATTCTTAGTTAAGTCCAGAGAAAATATAAAATTAGTAGGAACAGCAAGTTTTGTCTTTTCCAATACAAGCATTCATTGTACACCAAGCCTCCCTCTGACAAATATACGTCTCTAATATTTAGCGTACAGATATCAGGTTATACATTTGCTAAAATAGTAAATTAATGGATTTTCATTGTTACAATAGAAGCATTACCTCTATAAACTAGTTTTCTTGTTTCTTATGCTGGCGTCAGGTACTGAAAAGTATTGTGTTTTAGTAAAACTGGAGGAAAAAGGTTCAAATTATCAAAACCTGTGTTTAACTTTTAATGGATTCCTCTCCTGTTCATAGTCAGTCATATTAGACAGTTTGTAACTTTGATTTCAGGAATAATTAGCTATGCATTTTGAGGATACAAGATAGTCACAATTGTTTCTTAATGTCACTTCTGTTTCACTGCAGAGGTGCTTTGCTATTTAGTTCAGCAATTCCTGAAATTCTGAACAGGTAAGTAGAAACATATTTGAAAACCATTAGGTGTCAGGTGTGTTGGATGTGCTCAGATTACTCTGTTAGTTCCCCATTGAAAATTCCCCCAGAAAGACCTGGACATGGTTATAGTCAAAGGTTTTTCGCCTTAGTTAATTAAAACATACAAAGAGTTCCACAAACCTGATCCTCAAGAGAGCACATCAGGTTGGTGATAAACTCTTTGTTGCAAAGAAGAGCTAAGGAGAGTTTTGTCCCTCACCTTCATTCCCCTAGCTTTGGGAGCTCATGTTTCTCTATGCTGGGGCTCCACCATTAACCAGTGCTACTCTGTTAAATTCTGTCTCCCACCCCACCCTACCCTCATCCCTGTTTCCACCTCTTCAGCTCAAATCTTGAGGGAGATAATCCATTCCAATTTTAACAGTGCCTGCTAAGGGGAAAGTTTTTGCTCTAGGCTCTTGGAATATAGTGGTGAGCAAAAAATTCACCAAGTCCCTGCTTTTATGGGATTTGCAGTCTAGTGGGGGAGACAGATGGTAATCAAATAAATGTATACTTTGAAAATTGGACAAGTCTGAAGGAAAGGTATGCCATGCTATGAGAATATTGATGAAGTGGGGACCTGTCTTATAAGGGAGGGGGTTTGTGTAGGGAGGGCTTCCTTGAGGAAGTTATCTTGACTGGAAATCTGGAGTAGGAATTAATAGGCAAGGGTATGAGCAGTCAGGAGCATTTCATATAGACGGAGCAAAATGTGTAACGGTGCTTGGTAGGCTGGAACATAGCGCAAAAGGCTGATGAGGCTGGAGTGCAGCCTAAGGGAGAGAGACAAGAGATACGGTGGGAGAGGGAGGCAGGGGTCAGACCATCAGGGCCTTACGGGGCCAGGTTGCAAATTTTGGGAGCCATTAATGTGTTTTAAGCTGCATGGAGTGTGTGTGCTATGATGAACTAAGCATTTTGAAAAGATGACTGTGGAGGACAAATGAGAGGGAAGGAAGAATGGATCACAGTGGCCCAGCTAAGAGATGGTGGAATCTTGAGCTAGAGTGGAGGCAGAGGAGGTAGGTGGAAGTGGGGAGATCAAGTGAGGTAGAGAGATAAATATTAGAGGTGATAGGTTGATTCTGGGGAATGAGGGAGAAGGAAGAGTCAAAGACAACTCCCAGCATTTTGGAACTGGACAGATGGTGGTTCTGTTCACTGAGAGAGAAAAGACTAGAAGGCGGCCAGAATTTTTTAAAATTTTGAATTAAAAAAAAAATTCTCCTACTTGAACCCAGGAGGTGGAGGTTGTAGAAAGCTGAGATTATGCCAGTGCACTCCAGCCTGGGCAGCAGAGTGACACTTTGTCTCAAAAAAAAAAAAGAAATTTTGTCATCAAAGTCACATAGGAGGGATGGGAATTAAAAACATGGATATGGATAGAGAATATAACATGAGAAGAATAAATGGCTTAGGACCAAACATTGAGCTACTTCCTCATCTAGTGGGAGGTTAGAGGAAGGTGAAATTTGAAAAGAGTGTGAGAAGACTGGAGAGGAAGGAAGAAACCTGGGATAATGTGGTAACATAAAAACTAAGAGAAAAGGCTGGACACAGTGGCTCATTCCTGTAATCCCAGCACTTTGGGAGGCTGAGGCGGGTGGATCACGAGGTCAAGAGATCGAGACCATCCTGGTCAACATGGTGAAACCCTGTCTCTACTAAAACTACAAAAAATTAGCTGGGCATGGTGGCGCGTGCCTGTAATCCCAGCTACTCAGGAGGCTGAGGCAGGAGAATTGCCTGAACCCAGGAGGTAGAGGTTGCGGTGAGCCGAGATTGCGCCATTGCACTCCAGCCTGGGTAACAAGAGTGAAACTCCGTCTCAAAAAAAAAAAAAAAAGGAAAGAAGGAACAATTGGGCAATAATGCTAAATACTGCTAAGAGGGCAAATCTAAAAGAAAATGTCCATTACGTTGAACAAGTTGGAAATCATTGACTTTAGAGAACATGATTAAGCTTGAAAGATAGGGTAGATATCCAGGTCAGAGGAATAAGTGGGGGATGAAATAGAGATGACGAGAACAGACAATTCCTCTCAGAAACTGGTTTATAAAGGGGATGTTCCGTTACTTTTACTGTGTAATAAACCAAACCAAACTTACTAGTAGAAAACTAAAACCATTGTATTATGCTCCTGTATTATGCTCCTGACCTGGGTCAGGTCACGGCAGGGACGGCTTGTTTATTTTTCCCCCTGTTATCTGGAGCCTTAGCTGGGCAGACTCAGATGACTGGGGGTGACCTGAACTACTAGGAACTGGAATCATCTGCAGGTTTCTTTGCTGAAAGGTTTGGCACCTAGGCTGGGATCACTTGAAGGTTGGGCTCAGCTGAGATTGTCATCGAGAGCACTGACCCATGACCTCTCTGTGGGGCTGGGGCTGCCTGCAGCATGGCAGCTGGGTTCTGAGAGAGTGTCCAAGAGAGGTAGGTGGCGGCTGCATGACTTTTTCTGCCTATCTATGCAAGTTATCACAAACTTGCTAAGATTCAAGCAAAGGGGGACATAGTTACTATCTCTAATGGCAAGAATGTCAGAGAATTTGGGGTCATAGTTTGGAAGTATTACAGGCAAAGAGAGATGGGGGTAGCTGGAACGGGTATGTGTAAAAGAATTTTTTTTTTTTTTAAGATGGGGTCTCACTCTTGCCCAGGCTGGAGTGCAATGGCATGAACCTAGCTCACTGCAGCCTTGGCCACCCAGGCTCAAGCGATCTTCCTGCTTCAGCCTCCCAAGTAGCTGGGACTACAGGTGCATACCACCATGCCTGACTAATTTTTAAATTTTTTATAGAGATAGGGATCTCCCTATGTGGCCCAGGCTGGTCCCAAACTCCTGGGCTCAAGTGATCCTCCCACCTGAGCCACCTGAAGTGCTGGGATTACAGGTGTGAGCCACCAAGGCCAGCCAGTAATTTATTATACAGCAATACTGCTAAGAGAACAAATCTTAGATCACTTATACAGATTGTGGTACCCAGAAGTGCTGCCATAACAAAAACCTAAAAATGTGACTTTGGAACTAGACAGTGGGTGGAAAGGCTTTGAGGTGTTAGTGAAAACTTGAAGAATCTTCTATAAAAAAAAATAGACAACTTCTGCCGGGCACAGTAGCTCATGCCTGTAATCCCAGCACTTTGGGAGGCCGAGGCGGGTGGATCACGAGGTCAAGAGGTCGAGACCATCCTGGTCAACACGGTGAAACCCCGTCTCTACTAAAAATACAAAACATTAGCTGGGCATGGTGGCGCGTGCCTGTAATCCCAGCTACTCAGGAAGCTGAGGCAGGA